AGCAATTAGTATATATTTTAAGTATATTGCGACAAAAATATATATATATATAAGACTTAAAGATACAACTCATGGGATATAATTTCGACTAACTAATAATTTTAGTCACTAAACTAAGCGCGAAGATTGGTGAGTTGTAGTTTGGTTTTCCCTTGTTTGGAACATCTGAATCACCAGGAATGATACAGTAATTAGAGGCGGCTCAGTTCATATGATTGATTTTTGATCAAGGGCAGATTCAGGCTTTTCTATGGGTTAAGAACAAGGGAAATCAGGATCAATTTTGCCTTTCAAATTGGATTATCAATCCTAACTGCTGCAATATTTTGTAAATGCATTGCTGCACTTTTTCTTTTATTACTGTTAGAATTGATTAAATGAGTTTATGTATGAGTTTAAGCGCTAATTGTACTTAATAAAAATTATTGTTTTTTCAAAAAAAATAATTATATAATGTATAACTAATTATAATTGATTAAATGAAAAATAGCTTACTATATTGTATTAAAGTTGGGTCTATTGCTCGGAATCCAATTCCATATAAAAAAAAATCCAAAAAATATGCCTCTAAAAAATTTGTATTTTTTTCTCTTTATAATCATGAGGTATATTAAGTTATAGTCAAATATAATACTTTATTGAATTTTGTACCAGGAACAACTTTTTCGAAGTCAAGCCGACCGAAAATAAGCGTGGCTTTCTAAGAAATTTTCCTGAAGAGTAAGAAAAGCAGGTGAACCCATTGAGCATAGTTCATTGCTCTGGAGCTCTCTAGTGCCTTCTAGAGCTTGGTATAGGCCATCATTGGTGAGATCATCAGATGTTCAATTATACCTTTTCATTTTGATTTATCAAAAGAAAAAGGTAATATTTCATTTTCTCTTTTATCTAATCTGATTCCTTACTGTCATAAAGTATTTTCATCCATTGCAGTAGGTTGAGGTTATGGCCATAAGTTTATTTTGGTCAAGTCATTCGTCCCTTTTTTATTCCTACCATAGTTGTGAAACATTGAATAACACTCCTCTTAGATATCTAATTCAGAGTTACAAAAAAAATTAATATATACTTAGTTTAATAATATTTTTGATATTTATCTTGATTCAATTATTAAATTATAATATAAAAAAACATAAAATAGCAACAGTGTTTTCCTTCGCAATTCACGTGAATCGGTGAATGACACACTGACACTGGCTATCGTTTTAACAAATTGCGTCAACATGAAATAGACTAATTAAAGATAGTCATGATGGGCGTCGTTTGTGGTACATATTCT